CCTTGATCTGAGTTTTGTGGTAATAAGCATTGTGTATAAGTTTCATAACATTTGGTTGAGGCAAACTTTTGTAAGAGAACAGAAACGAAAAATTCAGCAATTTTTCAATTTGTAAAGGGGCATAACTCTAGAATGTTAAAAATGATGCCACGAAAATTCAAACTTGATCTGTGTTTTGTGGTAATAAGTATTGTGTATAAGTGTCATAACATTTGGTTGAGGAAAACTTAAGTTAGAGAACGGAAACGAAAAATTCAGCAATTTTTCCATTTGTAAAGGGGCATCACTCTAGAATGGTATAAGTGACACCACCAACATTCAACCTTGATCTGTGTTTAGTGGTAATAAGCATTGTGTATAATTTTCATAATATTTGTTGAGACAAACTAAAGTTAGAGAACGGAAACCAATTTCGGGACATACGGACGGACAAGGGTAAACAATGCCCCCTCCACTACGGCGGGGGCATAAAAATAAAAGGAGGTGTTGGGTATACATTATAGAGACAGCAACCCAATGACATAAATAGGTAAAGCCCTTTTTCCTGGAATTAGGACTTAAAACATCATGGTCCATTTTCATATCAATATCTTGAAAAATTTCAAATGCATACCCTTTCTCACATAATTCCCCAATAAGTCACCCAAGTTTTTTAACACTAAAACTCTACAGAAAATATACATTTTGTCTAACCTGTTACAGAGGTGACACCTCTATTAGGAGAAAACCTATCTTGTCAAGTCAGTCTCTTGTTAATCCACTGTAGTGATACCTATGCAGTTTTAAAACTACACTGTAAATTCAATGGTCACCTCTTTTATATAAATGTAAGTTTTCTCAGGCCAAGAGGATGACCTTTATAAACAAGTTTGACTGTAGTTACACCGTATGTATCAACAACATATAAAAGACACCTACAAGCTACAACATCAACTTTATTAACTTTATCTGGACACTTTCTCACAAACCTTACCCTATAAGTTACAACACATTTTTTACACAACCCCATGCAGTGTAATATACAATTGGTAGGTACATGAAGTTAAACTACTTGGTATTAAGGATGTAGTCAGGTGAAATTAAATAAATGTGGATAGTGTCCACATGTGGACACAGATGATGCCCCTGCTTGCATATCATATAGTTATAAAGGGACATAACTGAAGAATGGTAAAAGTGACGCTACCCAAATTTGAACTTGATCTGAGTTTTGTGGTAATAAGCATTGTGTGTAAGGCTAATAACATTTGGTTGAGGCTAACTTAATTAGAGAACAGAAACTAAAAATTCAGCAATATTTCTATTTGTAAACACGCATAACTCTAGAACGGTTGTGTATAAGTTTTATAACATTTGGTTGAGGCTAACTTAAGTAGAGAACAGAAACTAAAAATTCAGCAATTTTTCTATTTGTAAACACGCATAACTCTGGAACGGTTGTGTATAAGTTTCATAACATTTGGTTGAGGCAAACTAAAGCTAGAAAACGGAAACAAAAAATTTGTACTTGATCTTAGGTTTCATAATGTTTGGTTGGGGCAAACTTAAGTTACAGAATGGAAACTAAAAATTTTGCAATCTTTCGATTTATAAAGGGGCATAACTCAATAATGGTTAAAGTGACACTACCCAAACTCAACTTGATCTGTGTTTTATCAGTGGAAGTCAAAATTAAACATTGCATTGTATAAAGCATTGATTGTAGTTGATTCAACTTTAATCATGGACAAAGGAAGATAACTCCAATTTTAATAAAAAAAAAATTCTTGATATTTAGAAGAAAATAAAAATTTTGCAATTTTTCCATTTATAAAGGGGCATAACTCTAGAACGGTTAAAGTGACGCCACCAAAATTCAAACTTGATTTGTGTTTTGTGGTAATTAGCATTGTGTATAAGTTCCATAACATTTGGTTGAGGCAAACTTAAGTTAGAGAACGGAAACTAAAATTTTTGCAATTTTTCCATTTATAAAGGGGCATAACTCTAGAACGGTTAAAGTGACGCCACCAAAATTCAAAATTGATCTGTATTTTGTGGTAATAAGCATTGTGTATAAGTTTCATAACATTTGGTTGAGGCAAACTCAAGTTAGAGAAAGGAAACCAATTTTGGGACATACAGACGGACGAAGAGCATTAGTTAAGGGACAAAATAAGCTAAAAATATTGATAAGTTTTGGAACTCATTTTCGAGATATTTAATTTCTCTGACTTTTACCTTTAGCATTGGCATTATTTGGGTCTCAAATCGTAAGAAAAAAAATCTAGAATCTGCTTAAATTTTGGTAAATGACCTTTTATGAGCTATTGAAGTTTTATATATAAAGAAAAGTGGGTGACATGGGGCAAACAAATATTTTACTCTATATTGTAGGAAAAAATCCAAAGAGTCCGAACATCTGACAAAAATTCCTTAACCTGACATGACTACATCCTTAAACAACAAATACTAAACATTTTGAATATTTTGCAATGCTTTTATTAATGTGAAAATTGCAAATGAATATATATATATATATATATATATATAAAGTGCCTAGAAAATCAACCTAACAATGTTAGAGTAGATTTGATTCTTTACTTCCTCCCCAAGCGGGGCTGGAACCTGTACTTTTCACTTCATACTTCTACGGCAACACCGCCTAGCATTGCGCAGACGCCTTATCCCCTCCTCTAACTACAGCTATAGTTAGAGGAGGGGATAAGGCGTCTGCGCAATGCTAGGCGGTGTTGCCGTAGAAGTATGAAGTGAAAAGTACAGGTTCCAGCCCCGCTTGGGGAGGAAGTAAAGAATCAAATCTACTCTAACATTGTTAGGTTGATTTTCTAGGCACTTTATAAATATTCTAAAGCCTGGCATTTCTTAATCATAAGGAATCCGATGGACAAGGTATAATTTACAGTTGTCACTACACATAGGCAGACATACATATATATATATATATATATATATATATATATATATGTTTTTCCAAAAATAAAAACTCATTCACATTAATAAATGCACTCACAAATTTCTATTTTGACAGTAAAAAGACACCTGTAAGGTACAACACCAACTTTCTTACCTTTATCCTGATCGATGCCTTCAGCCATTGACTTCACAATCGAATTTATTCCAATTTTCATTTCCAATCACATTAAGAACAATTAACGTTTAATTAGTTTCTATAGCAACCAAACTTTTCCACAGAAAATGCCAAATAATGTTAATGATATAACTAGAAACTGAATGCTATATGTCAAAGTAATTGAATCAACAGGAGCGTCAATTGAGTATAAACTAATTTCTTATGAAATAATCGCTTCATTAGAAACAATTACTTTCCTTTCATTTAATATAATAGATCATGTCGATTTTCTTTTTTAAGTCTACAATTTCATTTTTGGATTCATCAATCTGACTGAAGACACGCCAAGGTGAATTAGGTATGCATGTGTTAAAAAGACATTTAAAAGTTATAAAATATACATAAGACCTACTAATTACAAACTCTCTAGTGAAACTTCTTCCTTATATTAAAATCTTAAATCGATTTCTTATTGATTTTTCAAATGCTTTACTGTTGTAGAAGCTGATCTGTGATTTTCATTTAGACTTCTGAGTCTTTAAAAACTCTTATGCAAATTGTAAACAAACTGTTTTTTCCAGTCTTTTTTTTTTCATTTTTTCCTCCATAATATTTTTAAATGTCATAGATTTGTTTGTTGTTGTTAATAATTAATGCCACATTTAGCATCCTTGGCTTAATCATGAGGGTGTGGATGGGGGTTTGCAGAATACAGAATAATGGGCAAAAAAATATAAAGAATAGAAAAAATGGACCAAAAAAATAAAGAATAGAGAAAAATGGCATAAAAAATAAAAGAATACAGAAATGTAGAACCTCCCACCCAGACCCTCCTTAATCATGGCATTTTTTTTGGAGGAAGAAGCTGGAGTATCTGGGGAAAACCACTGACCTTCATAGTCATTGAGATATGTTTATAAATAAATTGCAACATTAATCATGTAAACCACAAATACTAACTGAATTCTATATTTTTTAGTTGAAAGACTTCAGATGATGTATGGATTGGTGTTTGATGTCCAGTGGCAAATATTACATGCATATCAGGGCTAGAGATATGAATCTGAACCTTGTTTTGTTTTAATTTTGGAATGTTGAATTTGATTTTCAATGAGAACTCTGTTTCACAAATCTTCTGTAAGTATGCAGAAAGACATGTTTAAACCTTTCCCTGATTGCAGAATGTTTTGCAAAGCAACAAATACCAACATTCAAGTTTTCGGTTTGACCTTCCAAGGGATTGAACTCATGACCTTCTGAACTCGAGGCAAACACTATAAGACAATCAAGATGGTTGGAAGACTTTGGAACTCAATATGTTATCATGGTAATATCATACAGAAAATGTTTATGATTTCTTTTCAACATAAAAAAAGGTAAATTCAGAAATTTTGCATTGTTTTTATCATTTTTGAAAATAAAAACTTGCAATTAAATTTTAAAAGTAATATTTGTATGCATGATTTCTTAAAAATCACAATAATTAAACCTTGTATGTTTTTTTTATTATTCAAAAATAACAATAATTAATAAATGCATGCAATAATTTCTGAATTTACACTGGGACTAATAGTCCCTGATTTACAGTAATATAAAAGGCCACAGTGCATAATAAATAAGGGTTAATTACTGGAACCTGCAACTAAAAGTTTTACCAGGAAAAACCAACACTTTTGATAAAATTCTGATATTTTCAACCTTATTACTTTAGCCATTCAGATCTTTAATCACCCCTGGTTTTTGGTGGGGTTCTTGTTGCATAGTCTTTAGTTTTCTATCTTGTGTTATGTATACTGTTGTTTGTCTGTTTGTCTTTTTTTCTTTTTAGCCATGGCGTTGTCAGTTTATTTTCGACTTATGAGTTTGAATGTCCCTTTGGTATGCTTCGCCTCTCTTTAACAATAAATTGCCTATATATCAGAATTACCTTATCATGTTTCTTGTTACAGTCCTAATGTCTCATTCTCTTCCTGCAAATATATGAAAGACATCATTAAAGCTACATTATTAAAAGTAATAAATCTATTAATATCATAAAAGATCCTTTTCCAGCAGAGTGACATTGATTTTATATATAAGTACCCACTGGTACACTAGTTCTTATGTTCAGTAACTAAGTTCCACCGCATTCTTACAGTATTGGATTTAGTAGTAAAGACAATGTCACAATCATTTTTATCAGAGCTATTCAAATTTTTCTATGGGAATCCCTATAAGTTAGCCAGTACAGAGTCTTAGGCCAAACAAAAAAGGTATGTGTGTTTACTGTACCAGGCTACCTACCCTAATTTTTATCCCCTACCCTAAAGTTATTTTGACCATCCCTTAGACTCAATGTAAAAAAATATTAAAAATTAAAAAAATTACCTACCAACCTACCCTATTTTTTTCAGCATGTAACAGTAAACACACATAGTTTTTTGTATGGCCTTATACAGTAAATTCAGAAATTATAGTGTGCATTTATTGTTGTGATTTCAAGATGACAGACCAAAATATGACAATAATTACTGCGATTAAAGGAAAAGCTGTATATATATATATATATATATACATGTATATATGTGTCAGAATTAAAAATGCATGTTCTCATTATTCATATACTCACCAAGTCGCTTTATTCGTTATAATTTCTGAATTTACAGTAATCTTATGTAAAACAGATATTGGATTGCAGATTCATTATGTTTATCCCCAAATATCTTTTTATTTATATGTGTAGATATTGGGTTGTTTATCCCCAAATATCTTTTTATTTATATGTGTAGATATTGGGTTGTTTATCCCCAAATATCTTTTTATTTATATGTGTAGATATTGGGTTGTTTATCCCCAAATATCTTTTTATTTATATGTGTAGATATTGGGTTGTTTATCCCCAAATATCTTTTTATTTATATGTGTCAATATTGGGTTGTTTATCCCCAAATAACTTTTTATTCATATATGTAAATTATATTTTCAAACTACAAAGGCTATTCCATACTTCACAGTATAAAATGGTCATCTATTGGCCATTTTATGACTATTTGAGTGTCATTCTATGTATGCAAATGTTTCTAGGGTTAATTTCGATGTGTTCTAACAACTTTAAGAACATTTCAACTTCAAAGACGACCAGTTGTCTAAAGTGTCAATTGGTCATCTTGTGGTCCAGCTTTAAAGTTAATAAATGTCAGAAGTACATAGAAAAATATGTTAAGTAGGTGTAAAGTAACATGTATCATAAAATAAAGTAATGAATACTAATTACCAATACATGTACCATGTGTACAACCCACTCATGGCAATTCAATTGAAAATCTGTCTTACTTTAGATTTTAAGTGGTAAACACTGAAATAAACCTTGAATATTGAATAGAAACCAGTTTTACTGTAAATTTATTTCCATTTACAATGTAGCAATTTCATTGGTACCCATTTTGTTGAAATTGGGGGAATACATAATTTTAGTGGATTGAGTAAAACAAATATTTTTTGTGCATTGGGGAAAAAAACAATTATTTTCGTGAATACATGATTTGGTAGTTTTAACAAATTCTGAATAAAATTCTATTTAGGAAAATTTTTTTTTTTTAAAAACTTAAGATTCATGGTCCACCTATAGCTATAAACACAAAATCAACAAAAATGTGTACCCCATGAATAATAATGTTCTACATGTACATTGAAGGGAGGTATATGTATATCAGAGGGATGTTAAGCAATCAACAATCAATCAATGTATATCAAAGAGTCAATGCTCAAAATCACCAGCATATGCTTGGTTTACTGTAAATCAAGGAACACAATCAAAATTGAATTGAACTAAATCACTTTGCATGAACTGTGCTGTTGATTCATTAGTCTTTGTAGGATACTATGTTCATCAGGAGGTTCAAAGATAATGCCCTTGAAAGTGGGTTCAAGTGGCTCTCTGTGTAAACGTAATTTACTTTTTTTACATGCAGATAGTGAGATATGAGTCTGTATTCCTGAGGTTGTCATCAATTGATCTCTGACATAATTGTTTTTTTGTTAGAGATTATTAGTTGAATCAGGACTAAGGCCCTTTATCATGTTTACATAAAACAAGGAGATGTTGTACATGTACTGGTCGGATTGCCAATGAGACAACTATTTCAATTGTGTTGTTTTGCAATTTTGTTATCAGGGGCTTTTACCGATCATACATAATGAGCCTCTAGTCCAATGGTTGTCTAAATTGCAGTCACTCAAACTTGTTTTTCATCTAATTTAAGGTTATAAATCTACATAGAAAGCATTTAAAACTTTGAGATGAATTTAACAAAAGACTAACCTTCAGTCTCAGTTCCCACCCAACTTCATATTTAGACAGTCAAATGCATAAAATATTTATAGGTCATGTATATCTTTTAAATAGCTGACACATTTTATAAACACCTTCTAAATCATTTAATTTCTTTTTTTGTCAACCATTATCCATTTCCACCAAATTTACAAACAGATACTTTCTTTCTTTAAATTGTAATAATACCTTACCTGTGTATACAAAGATAGATATCAAAATCGTTTAGTATACCATACACTTTGAAAAATTCTTCTCAAATGAAATTTTAATATTAAAATCCAATAAAAAAGTTAAGATATAATATACAGCCACAATAAATTAACCCTAGTGACATTAAATGTCAGACCAGTAGATGTTCCCCTTCTACCATAACTGGGCGTTAGGTTTATTTACATTAAAGTTCATATTTGATCTTCACTTGTACAACATCTACCCACATACGGACAATGTAAATAAAATTTCACTTACGATCATTTGATCCCAAAAGATACCCTCTTAATTTTAATTGTTTAGAAATAAAATTTGAGTCTATACATTCTGCAGGTCAATACCATTGTAAGACTCAATTATATATCTTGGACATATTTATAAAATGTCGAGTGTCAACAAAGATTTAAATTTTTGAAAAAGAAAATCTTGTCTGTATTTTATGATTCACATTTATCACCATAAACTTTATAATAGATATCCACCCAATTTAACATATTCAATCAAATGTATCAAATATTTTCATGTGATGCATATTTTTTGAATGATTGACTTGACGTATGAATTTATAAACATCAATAAATAATCACTTGAGATATACATTTTTGAAAAGGAAAATTCAAACTTCTTTTTATTATTTGTTTTAATTATATCATTATTTAGAACCATCTACACATCAATTTCTATAGTCAGACCTGTATAAAAGTCACCCTTGGGACTGGAGAAATATGACCTTACACAAGAGGTGACTATTAAATCGAGGTCTAAATTGCATAGGTATTACTATAGGTGAGCTAAAATACAAGACAGGTTTTCCGTTAATAGAGATGACCTTTAGAGCAGGTTTGACATTATACATGTATGTAAGACGAAATTATACCATATACAGCTGATATATACAGGATCCATCAATACAATATTGTCTCATATATAAAGGACAACTTATTAGAGGAAGTGATATTCATGATATTGTAAATTCATAAATTTGTGCATGCATTTTATAATGGCAAATGTTGTACAATGGACGAAATGCAAGATGTTTTATTGTGATTTTAGGAAATGATGCATGCAATAGTGATATCACATTTTAGAATGTTTTTGAAAAAAAAATAACTATTTATCTTTTTTCCAAATATGAACATGTACATATCATGCGTATACACACCATGTAACTTTAATCACATATGCCATCTGGGGTCAACATCTGACAGATTAAGGATTTGGACTTTCCTTACAATAACTTCATACTTGAAAGTTTTATTACTAAATCATGTAAATTATTAGCAATCGTCCAATGATTGTTTAATTAATATTTATGACAAGGCATAAAAATATAAATACTAAGCTTTTTTCCTGCACCTTGCAGGAAAAGTATGGACAGCAAATGATTTGTCTCTTTGTAGAATATTTCACAAAGATTGCAAAAAGTTTTGGACTTTAAAGGTGCTTAACCAAAATTGTCTGGATTTAACTGTGCTTCGCCAAGAATGTCAGAAAAATGTGTTAGGGTAGGCATAATAAGTGTATGAGACTATGAAAACCTAAAATTTATTGCTGGTCCTAATCTTCATGATTAATGGACTGATTGATTGATTGTTAGTATTTTACACAACTTTTCAGCACTATTTGCTTATTACTTAGGTGGCCAATCTTTATTAGCGGAAAAAGATGAAGAAGCCAGAGTAACCAGAGAAAACAACCGACCTTCGACAGGAAATTGGTAATCCTTATCATCTAAGACAAATGTAAGATCAGAGTCGAAAGTACAAAAAATTTTCCTTGTCATGTGTGGGGTTTGAGCTTACAGCATTTGAGTGAGTGTTGCCAAGCTCAGAGATCAATGTAGATGGACTACTTAGACAACTCAGCCACTGAGACCCCTGATGGTTATTGGAAGTTTATTTGTAAAATATAATTGTTTTTGAATACATGTATATATATGTTATACTGTGCTGTTACACCACTGTCCCAGGTTAGGAGGGTTGAGCACTCAAAAACAATGTTATACCCCACCACATTCTTTATGTGCCTGTCCCAGGTCAGGAGCCTGTGGTTGTTGTTCATTCATGTCTGTCATATTTGTTTTTCGTAAATTGTTTTGTTATAAATTAGGCCATTAGTTTCATATTTTTCATGTCGGGGCTTTTTATAGCCGACTATACAGTATGGGTTTTAATTAAGTTGTTGAAGGCCGTACGGTTGCCTATAATTTCTTACATCAACTTTATTTTAACTTTGGTGGATAGTTGTCTCATTGGCAATAATACCACATCTCCTTATTTTTATATGTGTAAACTAACAATGAGCTTGTGAAACTCATAATACTTTTATACAGTATAATTCATGAAACTAGTTTCTGCAGTATGCTGGCAAGTTTCACTTTTTTGATACAAATTAAAGGTTAATTGATTGATGGTTTAATTACGCAAAAGGCAGTATATAGCAGCCAGGAATAAAGGAGGCACAGGTTACAAGTGTTTACGTCAATGAGAGAGCAACCCAACGACAAAAACAACCAAAATAAATCTACAGGGCAACAAACATTTGGGGATCCAGAAATTTCAGATTTCTTCAGAATTGTTTTTAAAATAACTTAGTAAACCAATGGACAAAAGTTATTCTGGAACCTCCTTGAAGTTTAAAATTATCTAATCTGGTTCCTGCAGATGTTAATATAATATTATTTAACCAGGAGTTTTGTATGATACAGTTCAGACTTTCACATTGGTACAGGACTACAAGCTCAGGCTTGTCAACAGAAGAAAAGGCATGTAATTAACATTTCTGCAAGAGAACAATTGATTCTATACAAAATTTTCCAAAAAAATGTCAAATCTGAGGCCACAAAAGTTTATCACGAAATACATATGATACATGTATTACTATTGCAGTAGAGTGACAAAAGATACCTATATACATGATATATATATATATACCACCCACGGCCACATCCAATTTCCCTGAAAATAACAAAAAAGATTGAATTGACCCATTTAGGTTATCTCCCTTTGAACATAAGTTACATTCACTATACATATCATGATCAGGGGCTCTTTTCAGAAAAAAATCTTTTGACAAAAATTGATCTTAAGAAATGTTCATGACTTCCAAGTGTTTTTTCCGCAAAAGAATTTTGGGTGAAATGACAGATTAGGCCAATTCATCCTTCAAACTGTATGTACACAGTAAAGAACATTGCAAATAAGCTGACAATATTTTTAAGATTGCAACTGATGACAGTCAATGTTCATAATCTACCTTGCAATTTATAAATAATGAACATGCTGAAAGGAGCATTAATCAAATTGTCATTAGTTTAAATCTGATTGTATTTCCTGATGAATTTCAATTTTTATTATGATTGCTGAAGATAACTTTAGAGTCATTTCTTTTTGTCATGGGTACCCAATTATTGTACATAGAAAATAGAGGATTTTGTGCATATGCCAATAGCAAATAAGTGTTGAAACAACAAGGACCTGCATGTCATGAATAGAAAGTATTTCATTCCTCTGTTGCATTGTAAGGAATAGTGAATAGACTGATATAATTTTTATTATATTTATAATTTTCATCATAGAATAGCCAATATTTACACTAATGTCATTTGTAATAACTCCAATGTCAAGACTGCAATTCAGCTGTCCTGGTAATCTAGTTAACGTCAAAGTTTTTCCTGTCAGATGGTTTCCAAGTCATTTTCTCTCTATTTTGGTAATTTTGTTAGAATCGTTTTTCTCACTTAAATTCAATATTCAAAAGTCATGAACCAGGATCTACAGCTTTTAGCATAAACAATCAAAAGTTACATCCCTGTTGTTGTAAAATGTTGAATAAAGAATTTTTGGAGAGCAAATGTTTAAATCTTAAATGGTTTTAAAGACTTAAAATTGCAAATTCCATACAAGTTTTGTCAGTAATAGACCATGCAACAAGCATTTTTTGATTCTGAATGTAAACAGTACTTAATAATTTGATTGTTAGCTATAAAAATTCTTAAGGGTTCCGCGGAACCCAGTGTCTCGCCTTCTTTTGCTGTTAATCACAGGCTCAACAAAAATGAGAAAAAAAAAATGATAAAAATATTCCTCTCTATACCATCTTTTGATTATAAGTAGCTTCTGTCCAAGTTTGGTAAAAATCCAGGATAATTTATGAATCTAATAAATGTTTTAAAAACTTAAACTCCAGACTGTATGTAATGTTAACTGGAAGAAAAACTAAGTCCATTTATAAGTAAAATACGGCAAAAATGGAACAAAATTTTAACAAAATTTCCTTCTAGATACTAGCTTTTAACTTAAACAATCTTCTGTCCAAGTTTGGTACAAATCCAAGATAGTTTAAGAAAGTTGTTAAAATTTTAAAAACTTCAACCACAGAGTGAATGTAATGTTTCCTGGCAGAAAAACTAAGTCCATTTATAAGTAAAATACGGAAAAAATGGAATTTTTTTTTACAAAATTTACTTTTGAATATTATCTTATGATCATAAACAAGCTTCTGTCCAAGTTTGGTAGAAATCTAGGATAGTTTAAGAAAGTTATTAAAATTTCAAAAACTTTAACCACAGAGTGAATGTAATGTTTCCTGGCAGAAAAACTAAGTCCATTTATAAGTAAAATACGGAAAAAATGGATTTTTTTTTTTACAAAATTTACTTTTGAATATTATCTTATGATCATAAACAAGCTTCTGTCCAAGTTTGGTAGAAATCCAGGATAGTTTAAGAAAGTTATTAAAATTTCAAAAACTTTAACCACAGAGTGAATATTTGTGGACGCTGCCGACCACGACGGAATGTAGGATCGCTATGTCTCGCTTTTTCGACAAAAGTCGAAGGCTCGACAAAAATGAATTCGCAATTACAGTACAAAATTTCTTCAGATTATTAAGTTGCAGTTATTATTCGTGTGGATTCAATATAATAGTTAATTGTTATACTTGTGTTATACATGTATGCATTAGGCATGAAATAATGTTGCGTTTTACGATTAATTAAGTGTCTAATCTTGTACTCGTTCAAAATAGGAGATACTTTGGATTATAATACAATAGGGTTACGCAATGACATGCAATAGATTATAATTGCTAACAAAACTTTAACTTCCCCTTTCAATCATTGCTTGATTGGGATCATTTGATGATGGCGGAAGAAAATTTAACAATGGCGGAGATCATTTGACGATGGCGGAAGATAATTTAATGATGGTAGTGTGCCTTCATAAAACAGGTCATGGATTTCCCTCCTTAAGGTTAGAATTTTTTATATGTATAAATGCATAAATTTATAGCCCTCACTGGCTCTGACAGTGATGATTTCATGGCAAAATTGGGTCTTAAAGTTGAGAGCAAAATTTCCTCTCATCATGCTCATAGTCCAGCTGAAACAAAATGGCTTCAGCATTCATGGCATTATGATGTCTTAGGAAGGTGTCAAAGCAAAAACTTCAATAGCCTTTCAGATCAAGGCGTCTTTATTATTTGGGCTAGGTTGTGCCTTCTTCCAAATACTTGTACGTATATATACAGCCCCCATCAACATGAATAATCTGGCAAGTTGCAAGTTGCGCATGATTAAAAACTGGTAAAAAATAAAGTGTTGAATAGGCCACTTCACGGTTATAACAGCAATATTTAATAGGGGGAGTTTTTGGATGGAGGTGGAAATATTAAGAAAGTACGGGAAACCTAAGCATGTTTCCAAACAACAGTTCTGTTTCAATGATGTTTTCCCCATGTTTTTCAATGCAATTTCACCTCCATTATGAAAACATGCCTCTATTCAATATGGCTGCAATTCTAGTGAAAGGGCCAATTGGTTAGATAGAGGTGTTACACTGTTGGTCACTTGAGCATCACCTGTTTGAGTCTGAGAAGAGGAACTGCAAGGAACCCATTGTTCCTTTGCATTCGGTTTTGGCAAATGCATGTAGAGAATTTGTGTCTTGAATGAATATACTATAGCCCTTCGATTCTTTACCATTGCCTGAATATCTATCAATAAGTAAAGTATAAAAAGAAATTATAGCAGCTGGGACTAAACTAACACAGTGCATAATATTTCAGTCTGAATTTCAGATAATAAAGCGACCAGAAAATAAATACCGTAAACGTGAGGCTTGTTTACTATCACTTTTCTAACTTCTTAAAAAGTCTTTCTCACCTGTTCAGTTGAAATTAAAGTTGATTTGTCGCGATTGTTAATCCATCAAAATAACCGGAAGTGTAACTGGTAACAGATGAACTGATTTCCGATTTCCCGCGGATTTGAAATCCGCTACTCTCCCATTCGGATAATTTCCCAAGTTTTTAAATAAATGCATTTAAGATTTTTGATAATATCAATGTCTTTAAACAGAAAAATGTCCTTTTATAATATGTCTTTGATTTAAATAGACAAATTTAGATAAAGTAAACTTTAAAGCCAAACTTCTAATACAAGAAACCTGGGACTATTATACTAACTGTTAGCAGAGACATATAATATTGTATTATATGTCTCTACTGTTAGTAAAATAGTCAAAATAGTCCCAGAAGAAACGGGCATGGTTTTTGATTATGTGATTACTTGGCCCTGTTTTAGTGATAATTTGATTACTAGACCAAATATTTCATGATTATTTGATTATCTATGACTATTTTTGTCTGATTAATAAACGTATTTACACTTTTGGTATTTAGCTATATTTTGCCTCCGAATGACCTTAGATCTACTCCGAATCACCTTTTGACGTCAGGCAACAATCACTTTTTAATTGTGACGTCAAATGTTTTGAATTATGATGTCAAACTTTACGGGAACCTGTGTGATTTTACGTAATGGCGGACAAATTTGCATACAAGTGTAAATACGTCTATTGATTACCGAGTTTTAAGAAAAATAAAATCGGAAGATAAAAGATAACAACTTAGGATCACCACTATAAGATATGTTTTGAATTTCTGACAAAAAAATGTTGTGAGTACCAAATATATAAATTTTGGCATGTAAGACGTCATTTTTTGTTTTAGTCTCGCTGCGCTCGGTTCAATTGTTCAGATTCAAATTCTAAGTTTGAACGCGTTCGTTCAGTAAAGTATTTTTTATCTGAAGTTAATTTACTGTTAATTAGGATTTAATTAGATGATGTAAGTAACTGTGTATTCAAACAAGAGACATAATATATACACATATGTCACATATATGTATATATGTAGATATAAGAAGATGTGGTATGACTATAATGAGTGCCAATGAGACTTCTCTCCATCCAAGTCACAATTTGCAAAAGTAAACCATTATAGGTCAAAGTACGGCCTTCAACACGGAGCCTTGGCTCACACCGAACAGCAAGCTATAAAGGGCCCCAAAAATGACAGTTTAAAACCATTCAAACAGGAAAACCAACGGTCTAATCTATATAAAAAACGAGAAACGAGAAACACTTATGAACCACATCAACAAACGACAACCACTGAACAACAGGTTCCTGACTTAGGACAGGTGCAAACAAATGCAGCGGGTTTAAACGTTTTAACAGGCGCCAACCTTCATCCTAACCTGAAACTATAGTGTAACATCACAACATAGAAAGACACACTATAAAATATCAATTGAAATGGCTTAACTCAATCAAAAGACATATCAACAGTAACAAGTAAACATACACTGAACGAATAAATTTTATCTATAACACAATGTAAATACAAAATTAATTAAAAAAAAGGGGGGGGGTGAGATGTAAAACAATATCAGAAAGACAACCATAACCTTGGACAAAATGCAGCCAAATAAAATAACGTGTATATTTGTCTCTGTTCAAACATCATCAAATTTTACAATCAATTATGATTTAATTAAATGATGTTTATTCAAACACCATGATCACATTTTGTATAGCATATTTATTTAAGGATTTTAATATTCTATAGAAATTCTTGTTATTTTGTTTAAATTCTTTTATCTATGATAACAGGAAAATACAGAGAGAAAAAAAATGAAGTGCCGAATTGTCTTGGTCCCGAAATGTCCTGATGCCGAAATGTCTTCGGACTTGGGTGCCGAATTGTCTTGGTGCCGAAGTGTCTTGTTACCTATTTTTGTTTTAAAGAATATGTTGACATTTTCGTGTCTTTGGAGGGGTCTTGAATTTATTTTCCTTCCTCAAGGTGGGACTTTAAAAAATATGAGAAAATTTCAATGTTTCCCCCTAGATTCCCCAATGAAAGAAAATGACCAGTCCCTTAGATCAGATTTGTATTAGATTAGAGTAAAATTAATTAAGTGTTTGATATTGATGTGTCTTGTGAACATTTTAGTTTAATTAGATATTTTGACTTTTTGCTGCGCCCATGGATTTGATTGCTCTTATTGTGTTCGGAGCCTTACAGAGCTGACTGTCACTTTCAGAAATGTGACCCCCCCCCCCCCCCCCCCCCCCCCAACTTTTCAATCTACTCCTACGCCATTGCGGCCAGAATAATGCCGGTAAACCATATATATATTTGGACAGGCGCTACACGTTTGAAGCGTGATTGTTGACGTATCTTGTATTATTAGTTGAATGTTGAGCAAGATAATGGTTTTGGTCTATTCGGCTACGCTGGAGATTGTGTTTGGTTTTCCAAATCATTGTTGCTCTGTTGATGATTCCTAGAGTTTCAAGTGAATAGTTTCTGCCACCATGGAAAAAGAGTTATAGTATCAGTTGGTGACGTAGTGTTCGACCCTTGTATGTACCTTCTGTATTCTAGTTTTAAGTTTTGATTAGATTTCAATGCATATTTTTTTGGCTGTATCTGGGACTATTATACTAGTATTATAGTCACAGTCTGTATCTGAATAAAATCTTCCAAAAGAGATATTACAGGAGACATATACAAATAAGATTTATCAAACAGATTTATCCCTCTTTGGTCTCTTGTGAAGAGTCGTCTCATTGGCAATCATACCACATCTTCTTTTTTTACATTATCCCTCTTTGTACTGGATCTTTGCTACCCATACATTTTAATAATCGGTATGAATATTTGTTTGTATGTGTGATGGATGCTTGAATATTGTCAATCGGATAATAAAAACCAATCGGATCTGTCGTAACTCGCTTAAAACAGCTGGTGACACACGGAATTAAAAACAAAACATAAAACACACGTACAACAAACTACACAACAATCAGTTTATCAAAAGTCCCCTATCCTCAGTTCTATTTACTATTTTAAAAAGAACCATGGAGACTTGGTACTTACATCATTGAAATATTAGATAAAGGAAATATTGTAGCTTTTTTTTTTTAAAAAGCGGAACTCACGAAGGTAGTAATTCTAGAATCCGGTACAGATAGTAAAAGTTTCTTACACTTTCATTTCTGTGGCAGTTGAAAGAGAAATGAAATTCATCACCTACATTATTACAAGAGCAACAAAAATACATATTCCCAGTTTGAATGGGATAACTAAAATGCTCTTTCCATATATCTATTTTAGAAACTCTGCAGAGACATGATTTTATGTTTACTTTAACTTTTTCATTATTATTTTTATAGACTAGTATAATGATTAGAAGTTCCTATCAAGTTCAATCTTTGTAGAATACGTAAATACACTAAAACACCTTACTTGTAATTCGATTTTTCAGAATCTAAAGGACTATGGGTAATATCATTGTTAGTACACCAAAAATGAAAATAACGTTACGTCATTGGTTGAATTTCCATTGTTTAGGACGTTTTAAACCAATCATAACGTTTTGGTGTACGCTTTTGAAAATATTACCCAGAATGCATTAGAAAAGCAGATGTTTATTGAGAAGTGTGTTGAGATTCCGAACTCAAACACTTAAACTCGTTTACTTATGAGTTATATCACCAAATTTGTACTTGCATGATCAACACAACGGTTGCCACATGTGGTGCGGGAACTGGTAATTAATCCTTCCGGAGCACCTGAAATCAAACACTTAAACTCATTTTTTATGAAACTTACCACCGGATTTGTACTTGCACGATAAGCAACACGACGGTTGTGACAAGTGTTGCAGGAACTGCTAATTAATCTTTAAGGAGCAACTGATTTCACACCGGTTTTTGGTGGTATTCGTGTTGCTAAGTTTTTAGTTTTCTATGTAATGTTTTGGACTTGTTCGACTTTTTATCGTTTTTCTTTTTTTGCATTGGCGTGGTCAGTTTTTTTTTTCTTCCACTTATGATTTTTTAATGTTATTTTTGGGGATCTATATTTGTCATTAGTAAAGAGCGACAGTATGAAAATAAGATGTAGTATGATTGCCAATGAGACAACTACCCACCGAAGTTCAGATGAAGCCTGGGTGTAAGCAATTATAAGCAACAGTACAACCTTCAACAATGAGAAAAATCCATACCGTATAGTCGGCTATAAATACCCCGACATGAAAAATATGAAACAATTAAATTGAGAAAACTAACGGCTTAAACAGTTCACGAAAAACAAATATAACAGACATGAACCAACGACAACCACTGAACTACAGGCTCCTGACTTGGGCCAGACACATAACTGGTGTGGCGGGGTAAACATATTTATGAGCGCTCAACCCTCCCCCTAAAGTATTGGTTACGGTTGATGATCACTTCGACTGCACATGCACAACTATCCAGGTAAAGATACCCACAATAAAATACACTATTTATTATGTACAAATTTACAATAAAGTAGATATTTTTATCATATTATTACTGTAAACACTACCAGGAAATAAAACAGGAAACAGCTACAATGTCGGAACATATGGAAAATGACGATTGTGAAAAAGGATAAAAGTAGATTATCAAAACTGATTGATGATACAGTTTCTATTGTACATAGCAAAGTGAGGGATATTTTCATCGATGGTGAAATAGAGAGAAAAGTTAAAGCAATTGTCCAGCAACTACTCGAATACACAGCGGAGAAGGACCCCCGTTTTAAATCATCCGAAATTCTTTCAGTAGGAAGTTATAAAGAGAAAACAAAGATATTAGAACCGGACGAATTTGACTTCTTAGTTATAATGGACGAATTATCAAAGCCAGGTGTCATGTCCATCGTCAAAGATGATGCGCTACCTTGTTACACGTATTTGGAAGTTCAAGACGAAGTAGTTGCTTATAATTGGTGGTGTGATGAAAACAAAATATTGCACCAATTTCAGTATCGTCCGAATGTTACCGGTGTGCCCGAATCATTTTGCACAACATTGTTAGCAACAATAAGTGAGGTTGCAA